TAGGTCTTACTCTTTCAAACTGAAGTAGAGAAATCCATTCTGCCTCTCTTTCCTTACTGAAAACTGCAAAACATAAACAAGCCAACAGTTTGAAAGGTTACAGCTCTGAAAGAATAGAAGCAGAGTTGGGGAAAGCCAATGACAGCAGTTTATTAGATGCTTATTTCAGAATCCACTTCAATCCCCACCTTTTCAAGCTAGAAGTGTAGCCCCACCACCAAATGAACATAACAACAACATATTAATGATTACGGTCATTACATGTCACTCTCTCTACACTTGGCTTAATTAAGCCCTATTTGTACTATGAATACTTCTATTACTGATCTCCCCAAATATATATGACTAAGTACTCCAAATCCAACACACACATCATTCCAATTAGTATGGGTCTGTGGTATATGCTTTAGGAATATTAAATTTTCCTTAATTATCACCACTTTAAATTCAGGTGCTGCAAGTCATTACATAATCATGGCCAAATCATGTAAATCTCTGTACATGAGGTTTCTTTATAACACAGAATACAATTTCACAGATACTGGTAGTTTAAATGTGATCATACATATATGTTGATCTCATAAATTAACATTATTAGTGATAAGTTACTTTAGTCTATATATTAAGTACTATTTTTTCTTTTTTCATATTGTATTTCTTTTTACTTTAGCATGTATTGTGCTTGTGCATTTTCCCTTTATGAGAGCTTCATTTGTTATAGACAGAGAAACCTCCTAAAATCCCTCTTCAAGCCTAATCATTGATGTACTGTATCACTTTTGTCATGAATTTACCTTTATAAAACCAATAGGATGATAAGAGCTGTCAAATACATGACTTAGCAATACCTGGAGTGGGGAATTAAAATGTTTGAGGATGGTTAGTGATTGTAAGTGTGATAGAATCCGTTTTAACAACGCTCTCATTGTAGCCGGAAAGTTTAATGGCAGATGAGGGTGTTCAGGTCAAATAATTATTGTGCTATGCTTGGAAGCCAGAAGTACAAACCATATTTAAAACAATGTGTTCTTTCTTGGATATTACAATGAGGGACATAAATAAAAATTTTGAATATTTGATCCTGTTGTCAGTCTCTCTACATATATGTGTTTTGTCTTAGCATTGTATTGAAAAATTTCAACTGTACGGTAAAGCTAAAATAACTTTACAGTGAACACTTGTAAATCTCGGTCAAACCAATAACATTCTGTACTTACTTTTTATGTTTATTTTTATTATATATATATGGCTTATATTATGCTTTTACACATATATTGAAATGATTAGTAGCCAAACAAATCACATATTCATCACCTTCAATAGTTACCTGTGTAAGTCTTGCATAGGAGCACATAAAATCCACTTGTGCAAATTCTCAGTACAGAATTATTAACGGAAACCCTCATGGTGAGTGTTAGACGCCCAAGTCTTACACATTCTATGTGGGTGCAAATTTATACTCTGACCACTTCGGCCCATTGCCTCTCAGCCTCTGCCTTGGCAACCACCGTGCTTACTGGACTTATTGAAAAAGATTCCACATAGAGACTGTCACTACTCTATCCAGCTATTTTTCCACTGATCCACATTTAATATAATTGAAAGTAGATTACAGATGCACTGTCCTCTAAACATTCACTCTGCATGGCATAGTTAAGTATTTCTCATGTGAGTAAGGCCCAGTACAAACAAAGAGAACAGAAGGAGCCAAGGAGAGGAGGGGTCTCTTGCAGACTGGAGGGGGCCCAGGAACCAAGGGAAAGGAATGAGGGGAAAAGGGAGAAGGGGACTACAGGAGGAGGAAGGTGCAGGGAGAGGAGGGGACTAAAAAAGAAACAAGCTGTGTGATGTACTTGTATCAACTCTCCCAGATGGTTGTAAAATGCCTGCATGACAAACACGTACTAATACAATAAGATAAAGAAAATTTAGATAATTATCCCCAAAAGTCTTCATTAAATGTTTACAGTTTAAGCACAAAAAACACAAAAATTACAAAGTCATATTCCTGTGCACAAATACCTGTACTTTGATTGTTGAGCCTTTTTGTAAATGAATTTATTCTTCTTTAAAGAAATATTGTCATGGTTTATGTCAGTGGCCCCTAAGCCTCAGGCAATTATGTGTTTGTGACTGATACACCCGCCTAGGGGTGGAGCCAGCATATGATGTAAGGCAGTGTGTGTGTGTGTGTGTGTGTGTGTGTGTGTATCTCTTGCCAGTTGGTACCTTGCTGTTTGCCTCATCCACGAATGGCGGCCACCATGCCACCCTGCCTTGGAGCCTGCTGAGTACTGGTGAAACCAAGAACTGTAAGAAATAGACCTTCCCTTCCCTAAGTTTGGGTGTCAGGCATTTTGTCTCAACAATGAGTAAAAAGTAATCGAGGCAAATATGAAATCCAGTCCTCTGCAATTTATTTTTATACAAAAATTTCCTTTCCTTTCTTCCCCAAAGATAGCTTACAACTATCCAGATCATATTATGGCAAGTTACAGATGTAGCCCCTGGAAAGTAAACTTTGAAACAAATGGTAGAATTCAGGTGCAAATGAGATTTGCTAGAGAAGAGAGGTAGGCAGGGCCACCCAGGTGCCTCAGTGGCCTCCCAGAAGGAACCAAGCCCAAGGAGCTTTTCCCAGGCAGTGGAACAGGAAGGAGCCCTGCCTTGCAGGAGGGGTGAGCTCCGTGGGAGTGTGCTGTGCTCACCGCACACCATGTTTGACACGTTTTCTTTAGAAATAGGTTGTTTCAGGGAGTGAAAAACTAAGAGAAGAGCTTAGTTTTACTAATGAACAGTGAGTTTAGTCTACAGACACAGATGACACGGAAAAAAAGTCAAGATTTTCAAAAACAGTTAAAAAAAAACCTAAAAAAAAATGTGTTTTCATGATTTCAATGCCAAACATGCATATTGAGAAAAAAAATATTTTTACGTGCATAGGCAGAATAAAGCTGGTAATAGGGTATAATCCTAAAAGCTATTTTTTAGCTATTATTATTTTTTTAATGTATCGGAGACCAAGAGCTTTACATGCATCAGTTTTAAAATCTCCTTCATAGGATGGGCAGACAAATGGCTTTTCTAAAGCAGCTTGTGTCAGAGATGTAATTCACATGCTAGTCCATTTGACAGGATGACCTACCCTTTTACACTGTGGCACGACTGGCTAGTTAATGTAAAACACTGTGCTGCATACTGTGGAATAATGTTGAGTCACTAAACTGCACATATACATATATATATGTGTATGTATGGTTGTGTTTACTGTATATGTAATACAGTGCGTTTAACACTTTCAGATCAGAATAGCATCTTAGTATTTATAGTTAGTATGTACACATCTGTGTTAAAAAGAAAACTAAAATCTTAACAAGCTTCTTATGATTTGGACTTACTGCTCCGTGACCTTATGATCTGTTTCCCTAATTGCCCATCCTTTTCAGTCACTAAGTCCTCCTTGCTGAATTTAGAGTAAATGAGCAGAGCAAACCAGCCTTGAGGATTATGCTCTATATTTTTCCAAGACTTCTGAATTCTTATTGCCAAGTCTTTCCAGGCAGAACTTCTGTAACTACCTGACTCAGTTCCACAATTTGCTATCACACTTGCCTAAGCATTTCTCATTCACATACTAATGACCATGGTTGGTGGTTTTCTTACAGTCTTTATCGTCTTCTACCTTACCAGGTCATTTACATTTTATTATATTCATACCTTTGCCTGTGTTTCCTTGCTGAAAGTGCAATCTTCATTGATCATTTAAGGTTATTTTTCCTTCTTCCTTCCACAGATACATCCCAAGGACTAGAAAAGTCTACCCCAAAGAATGTTTGCTGTTGGAGTGATGGTTGCTTATTATTACATTGAAAATGTAACTAGACTTGTCTCATGTGTAAATTTCCTCTGGAAGATACTTATCAAAATATGTTTTATCACATGAAAGTACTCAAAGGAAGAGTCTCCCAATATTTCCACTCAGATTGTGCAGAATGACAGAATTTACCTAGGCAACCTGCGAATCTTCATGGGATGGATTCAGCTATGTGAACCCTGAGCTGTTTACAAAAGTACTCTTATCAGGCATGATGGTGCACACCTATAATCCTAGCACTTGGGAGACTGAGACAGGAGGATCACTGTGAGTTCAAAGCCAGCCTGGGCTACATAGTGAGTTCAAGGCTGGTCTGAACTACATAACAAGACCCTGTCTCAAAAAATAAATAAATAAATAAATAAATAAATAAATAGACAAACAAAAAAACCAAACAAATAAAACCTTTCTTCTAACTGCCAGTTTTTTTCTAACTGAAGCTATTTTCTTTGGCAAGTAGCTAATTAACTGTCTCCTTTCTCTAGTGTTTAATATTCCTAATAGTTTACATAACTCTTTTAGTCCACAATGAAGCTTAAAATTTATTACATTCTCTAAAACATATGGTTTTCAAGATTTTGTATCTACTCAATGTTTATTGGGCAGTCATTATTTATTGAATATCAAATATTTGCTTCTTTCTATCTGGGAGAGCATATTACTTTGTTGGAGAGTCAAATATGTAATATTCAAATATTACCTATTCAAAATCTACTATTCAGAGACAGATGAAAACTATCAACCATCAAAAACAAAAATTTTACCATTCTCTTATTTTTTTTAATTTTACCTTTCTCTTGCTGAAATAAATAATAACCAATATCATGTGATCTAATAAATAATAGATGTTTTCAAATAACATTAAAAATAACGTGATCATGTTGTTAAAAATCCTTCTAATTCTCATAAAGATTTGGAATATAAGAGAAGGTGAGGGTTTTCCTGTGATTTCACACTAGTTGGATGGTGGATTGGATAACAATTCTTTCGATCTCGAATCATTGCAGGCCCATTATTCCACATTGCATGTGTACATCTTGATCTTTAAATAAAATCGCAATCAATGCTTCTGCAGAATTTACTTTATTGACAAGCAAATTAAGAGAGACAGATGTACATTGCAGTCCCTAAGACTCAGACAGAGTAAAGCTGTGTCTTTATAAACTCACAGTATTCGCCAGAGAAAAGTAAAGCAGGAGGGAGAAAAGGATTAGAGCTGGCCAGCAGGACACACTGGCCTTTTGGATTCAGCACTTTCCATGATGCTTTAGGCTGATCTTCCCATTACTTTTCCTATTAAAAAAAGAAAAATAAATATGAACTCAATCGCGATATGGTGTTCATTTGCCACAGATACTAGAAACAGGTTTGACTATGGCATGATCTGTCTAATCATTTGATTTTATAATTATCCATGTCTATGATTCAGCAGAGATCAAATACACTCAGAATAATATCTGGCCTAACTGGAAACTATGAAATGTAATTAAATCTCAGAGCAAATAAACCTTAGATCTCAGAGTAAATAAGCATTAGATCCTACAGAACCGATTGCTTATTCTCCAACATTAAATATATGTAGCAGTGAAAAAGGCAGATGTCGCAGGAGAAATAACGCCCAGGAGACTACAGTGTCAGTGGTACCCTGACAGAAGATGTAAGTACGTGAGCCACACATTGGGGCACTTGGCATTTGATAGGAACTGCACCTGCAGACCCATGCACTAGAAAGTGTCCATTAATTCGCATCCCAGCCCTTTCCACTAAGCCTCTCCTGAGGAAAGTTTGGTATGAATTAGTGAGGTGTGTCCTACAGCAATGCATTCACTGTGCACTGTTGCTGCTATTGGCATTTTAAAGTCAGAACAAATAAAAATAGGAAAGTATCAAATTTAATGGTAATAAATTATTATGTGAAAACTATCTTCTTTAAAACAAATAAAAATTAGTAAGGAAGTGAAAGCTGTTGTGATAATATTTTCAAAAAATTTCTCTTGCTTCTTTGGTTGTTTTGCTTATTTTCAATCCATCTCCTTTGAGTTGATTTATGCACTATCTAGGATGAAGAATGAGAAAAAGTTTCTAGAACTTCCAGGAAAGCATCTCAGTTTTATTCTAGAAGCTTCTGGCTTGCAAAAGTATAGGCTACTGACTCTTATACTTACGCCACTGCCTTACAGAAGGCACATTTATTGCCGTATGTCTGGCCATCAGAGCCACAGTGAGGGTTTGATTCCCGAGTACAAAAGAACTTGGGATCACTGAACTTGCTGCAGTCAACCTACAAACAAATGCAATCATGTTGACATTGGTGTATTCTCTCTAAAGGGCTGGTCATCAGAATAGAACATTCAGACACAAAATTTTATACCATAAGACTTGTGATATAAAAACATCTTGGAATAAAAACATAGCTCTGTCTACTTAAGTAGAATACATTAAATATAACTGAAACTTTTTCTTTGAGACACAGGAAATTCCTTATAAGAATACATTACTAGCCAGGTGTGGTGGCACACACCTGTGATCCCAGCAGTTGGGATGCTGAGGCAGAGGATTACATAAGTTCAAGGCCCATCTGGGCTACACAGTAGTTCAAAGCCAGCCTGAATTCCATAATGAGATCCTGTCTCAACAAACAAACAAACAAACAAACAAAAATACATGGCTGTCTTCCAGAGTACATTAAGGATGTTAAGTGCTATACTAAAGACTTTTTTGCTCCAACAGTAAAATACTCCAGTTTAGGGTTGTTTTTGTTTTTAAAGGATGTTTCTAAAAGCTGTATTAATGTTGAATAGCTGTATTAAGTTCAATAATACTTTTCTTCATGTTATGAGACCACAATACGTATGAAGGATCACCAGACATTACCCAGAGGCTTGATGGTTTCTCCAAGAGATGTAACACCTATTTATGACCCCTTAAAAAAGTTGAATGCCTTTACAGTAACTTACTTTGTCTCAATATCTGTTTGTAGAATTTGAACTTACATTTATGACTACAATGACTTAGTAGTGGCTGCCTAAGATTCTAAGTTGCAATTAGGTCTTGTTGAGAATATTTCTTGATTAATAATTGTTATCATTATTAAGAGCAGCATCTATAGCACTAATACAACCTCTCAGTTATAGTTGCCTCTCAAAGCCAATCTGGACGGTGGTGGTAATGTTCTTTTCAATGCAGCATCAATAGAATCAATATTTGGCATGCAAATGGAATGAACCTATGTCATTATTTCCAGGATATAGCTGTAACAATTAAATTAAACACAGTCACTGCAAGTATCTGCTTGTGCAATGAAATGATAATTACCCATGACTAGAGAAAAACTGTGTTATCACTGTCTTGATTACATTAAATGATGCAATCTTAAGATTATCCGTTGCTTCATATACTTAACGCCTGCATGTAGATTTCTTTAGTCAAGTCTGACAATAACCCTGAAGCATAGACTGAGCTATCTATATTTATTCCATTGCATCACATTGTATACCTTATACAAAAACATTATGTTAAAATATTGTATTGAGGAAATGTTATGAATGCTGACAAAAAATAATCACTCATTAAGATATTAGCACACCATTAGATACTGATGAAGTTGTCAAGGTTTTGTTTTCATGGTGAAGAAAATGCTCAGTGAAAGAGTCAGACAAATAGATTTTAAAAATTCCGCGTAATGCTCTCTTCATTACCACATATACTAAAAAACAATACCACATTTTTCAAGTTTGAATACAAACTCCACATTTCTGGCACTGCTTAAGTTGGCATCCTATTGAGGTTGGATAATGTAGAGTTTCTAATCTACGGTACCAATTTTTCCCAGCTTTCCATTCTGATACTACTTCCAGAAAAATAATCTTCCCTTTAGGTCTTCAAGTGGAAATAAGGAGGGAAATCTTGCATTCACTATAACTCACAAGACACTTTTTTCCTCAAAAGCTTATGTATTTTATATTTATGTCACTAACGTACACAATATTGTGCTCGAGTCAAAAAAGAACTGTGAACTGCAAGATCACTGATTCTTCATTTATTTCAAAATAACCTGAAGTCTAACAAAAATATGGAAGACCTCGTGCTGGGTACGGTTATACACAGAAGAGTCTGTAATACCACTATTTCAATATGCATGCTGTGTTATCTCCATTACAAAGGCAGAGAACTTGGATAGCACAGTGCAGTGTGTAATAAATGTCACAGTGGGACACAGGCGTGCAATAGACCCACAGCCTCACAATAATGGGGAAAATAAACAGGAAAGCCTCTTACGTGAAAGAGACGGCTTCTTAAGGCACCTTTCCCTGGCCATTGACCCTTTGATCTCGTGAGCCAGCCTCTTTTATCCTTTAAAAGCAGATATAGAAGTGGAACTTGGAGAGAGCATTCACTTTGAGATTCTCCAGAACCTGCCACCCTCCTAATCCCACACTCATCCCTTTTCTCTATTCCTTAGAGAGTAGTTAGGAGCAGCAACATGATAAAAAGTTAAAAATAATACTAATTTAAAGAAATAAGTGAATACAGTAAACCAAGTCAATCAGCTGGTGTATGAATAAACTGTGTTAGAACAAACACACTTAATGCTTTTAGATTGCAGCAGCCCTCTATGAAGCCTCAGGTTATCTGAAAAGCATATTGCAGATCTAATTCTGCTAATATCTGTGCTGTCTTAGGTGAGGTTCTGACTATGCCAAGATTTTATCAACCACAAAACAAGCAAATACTTTCCAGGCCCCATTCTTGTAATTCCAGGGTTTTCCTAGGGATCAAATGTGGATGTGTAGACTCACAGAGTCAGTGTGGAATACCTGAAATAGAGCAGGGTGAGGAGGGGAGAAAGCAGCCTTCTTATTGGAGACTCTTAACTGACGCTCATAGCAAATGGTCTACACACCACCAGACTATACAATCTCTAATGGTACTTTTACTTTATACCATCCATGATTTAGAAGTGACTATTTGCCATAAATTATTTCTATAAGTAAAGTTTTGATGTTCTTAGCTTTTGCAGTTGGTTGGGAGAAAAAGCAGCCATTCACTGGTGATTCCTCTTCCACCTCTACAGAGCCCTCTGCATTACAGGGTGAGCTTTGTTAACACGATGACCAGGAGCCCACTCTGGGGACTCTGCCTACGCCTCTGCAATTATCTGGAAATGATCCTTTCATATTGTAGATAGGAGCAAGAGCATGCCAGGAGTAGAGGGAGATCTCGGCTCTCACAACGTGAGGATGTGTGAATGTGTGAATTAAGATCTCTTAATTGCCAGGCATTTCCTCCACCTGCATTTCCTCTCCTAGTTTATATTTTTGTTCTGAACTCTTGTAAATAAAATTAAAACAACTGACTTCTCAGAAGAAGTCCAAGCAGGTCTAGATTGGAGGGGATAGTGGCAGTATCTTTTCTCCTTTAAGGTTGCATTCATGAAGCACTTAGATGACACAGGAGAGCTCAAATACTCCCAATCTAATTAAAATGCCCCAGTGCTGTTGTAATGTGATGGGGTTGTCCTGTGGATGGAATTGGAGTGACCTGGGTTACTTTTTCAATTCATTAGCTGCATTACTCTGAGATTACATTCCTACACATGCTACAGGGGGTGGTAATACCATACTTATCTACTAGGACTGTCATAATATTTAGCCCTACAAAAGTGCTTTCTAAAATATTGAGGACTATCTGGAAGGTCACTACCTTAAAGACCAGCAATGTGAACCACAGCACATCCTATAGAATTTTTTGAGCCCACTTTATTGCTTACACTATTTTAAGGATATTCTTAAATGTTGTATGCTTTTGCTGTTAGGTTTAACAAAAAGTATTCATTTATCCTTGGTGTGGCATCTTTGGGACTGCTTCTCGGTGTCAATGCTTAGTACACGCCTGTCCCCTTGTGGTAATTATCAGAACTGCATCTTCTAAAACATTTTGAGATGACGTAACAGTAGCCAGGTTAGTCATCTTGGAAAGTACAAAAAAATAATTTGGTTGAAAACTTGTACTTATGTGGTCATCAAGTCAACTAAGGAATCAGGGTTATATTTTAGATTAATATTTTAGTCTATCATTTAGGTGTACAAATAAAGCCAGTGAAAACCTGCAATCACACACACATACACCTCCCGCATGTTCACATCCCTTTCCACCCCCTTGAAACTACTCTCAAACATTGCGTCTGTAGCTGGGCGTGGTGGCGCATGCCTGTAATTCCAGTACTCAGGTGACTGATACAAAAGAATCACGTTGAGTTTGAAACCAGTCTGGACTACGCTGTGAGTTCAAGAGCAGTCTGAACATGAGAGATCCAGGGTGAGGGGGGAGACCAAGGAAGCATTCATAACATATTCATGTCCAAAATACAATCCTTTATCTTTCCTATAAGCTAGTTTTTGATTCTAACTTTTCTTTTTGTCATGATAGCAATTACTGTTAAGATTCCCCTTTTGGCCTTCAGACCAAAGCACTGCCATTTCTTTCCCCATCTGTTGCATTCTGTGTCTCGTCACGTTAAGTCTTTTGCAAATTCCAAATGTACTATACCAACCGACAACATTTTTTGGTGAATCAATATGGCAAGGTCTGCTTTCTCCGGCTTCTTTTCCTCCGGGTTTCAAATCCTTATATGTAAAGAAAAGCTAAACTGTTTGCAGCATATTGCTTAAGAAGTGAGGATAGTAATCATAATTGTTAAATTTGTTTAGGAAATTACAGTGCTTGAAGTTCTTTCCCATGCATTGCACAGTGATTTTTACTGCTGCCCCGCCCCTCACCAGCTGCTGGGAACTGGGCTCAGCCCTGCACAGGCCGGGCCAGCGCTCTACCCTTGAGCAACATTCCCACCCATCTTTTACTGCTTCCTGAAGCTAACTTGATTCAGGCTCCGCCTTCCTATTGATATATGGCCAGACAGGCTGTCTTTTTAGGGTTTCAGTTTCCCATCTCTAATGAAGCTGTAGATTCTGGGTAACATCTGTAGCCTGCATTTATATATTTATCAGTCAGTACGCTATTTTGTGACCTAAGAGAGTGGCACTGCTCCTGTTCTCCATATTTAAGTGGAGGAGAAACAGCAGCCTTGCTAGGATAGGCTGGGTTCATGATTTAAGTCTGTAATACAGGCAGAAGCTTTAGAGATGATTGAACCCAACCCTTCATCTTAAAGATTTGGCAGCAAAGGCACTAAGGGAAGAGATATTAGCCAGATCCCCCCGCATATAAGTATTTGAATTAGGGCTCTTCGATATTGTCAGACTCCAAAAGCAGTGCTTGCCAATACGCTTGCTTCCTGTGGCCTAGAAAAAGTTTTAACGATTTTACTGTGTCTGTCATCTGGATGATTATATAGAATGAAGATTCCAAACCCTAGCCTCTGCAATTATTGTTCAGTACTGTATACTGTACCAGTATCTGATATCTCGGATGTCCCTGAAGCAAGCAGATTAAGATTTGGCCCCATGGAAAAAGAATGGAATTAGGAAGTAGTACAATGTATATAAACTTTAGAACACATAATTTAAAATCCTTTAAATATCGGTGCAAAAAAGCAAGTGACTCGTATGCTAATAATAAAAGTTGTATTAAATCTCCTGACTCTTGGATCTGTGTGTAACAATCTTATCATTGTGTTTTATTACCTAAAGTGATGTAAACATGATGTATCAGTTTTATGTCCCTTCTTTGTGTTTGCTTATCTATCTGCTTTTATTTTTACTGTCACTGGGCAGCCATACTGATTTAAATATGATGAGTCTATAAAGAATTACAAATTTATGAAGCAACACAAACACACACATATGCATGTGGTAAACATCAGAGAATAGTTTAATGCATCATAAAATATAAGATGCATCTTAATTTCTGAGATGCTAAAATTGGAAGAACAAATTCTTATGCACTGGAGTGGATCGATCAAGTTTGGAAAATATTTTTCAACTTCTTTGCTAGCTCCAGTCAATCGGAAACAATGACTGGAGATTTTGAAACCAAGGGTTTTTTGCAAAAGTGAAACAAAACTTGGCAAGATCAAGCAGAAATGCTTGATATGGATATAGAATCAGGATTGGCAGAATAAATAAGATATATTTGTGTCAGTTTTTGATAGATCATGAAAAGGAGAAAAAGCTGTTAATTAAATTTGGAGAAAAAAAATCTAACAATGAAGAAATTCTGTGCCCATCCCAATTTTACCTCAAACTGGGTTTATATTTGAGGTTACCAGCCTGTTGATTCTCAATGCATAGCATTAAGTGTTTTCTCTTTACTTTTAATTATTGCTTAAAAAGAAAAAAATTTGTCCGAACTCCTCCAAAGACTGTTAGCTGTTAATTCACTTTAACTTTTCCATTTTCCCAAAGGTTTTCATTGATTTAGATATAATTGCAACTGTAAAAATTGAATACTAGTATTCCTTGTCTATAGCAGCAGACATTGCACCTCAGAGGAATCTAAATATCTTGCCTCCCCAAGAACACACGGTGGAATTAGCACGAATTGTATCTCATATCTGCTCTACACTCAAGTTAGGATTTAAATTAGGACTTTTCAACTTCAGTGGTATATTCCCAAAAGATTGAAATTTTAAAACATTACTTCAACTGACTTCTTCATTTGTCCTTCTTGCTCATTAATTTTGCTCTTTTTCACCAGGAACACACTTATTTTTGGTCCGAGAATACCAGTCAAGCACCACCCACATTGGAAAAATAGATAAAACTAGGCACTGACCTGTTCACCTTGAGTGAAGACACCTGAAAAAAAGCATAAAACCCAAACACTGTAATTTATAAAAGTGCAACAAGGAAATCTGCAAATTTAGAAAGTGCCCAGTATTTGTTCTTGGTTCTTGGCCATCTCAAGGTGTCATGAGGCATGTTCACCTATTTTTATGTTTACCATGTCTTAGGGAGCAGAAGGAATGTGGCTCATTCTGGAGAAATGCAGACAATACGGAGGATAATGTTTGTTGGAGCTTAGAGTGGGGTGGAAGAAAATTATTTATGGATCTAAAGCTTCACACTATAGTTTTAACCAAGTCATTAATTTACCATGGAGCACCTGGTCAGCTTTGGTCTTACTCTGAAGAAGCTGATTGGAAACTCTTCCCTAACATGGGTGTTCCAAAGTTCAGTCCATGTAGTTTCTTCTAAAAGCTTTTGTTATAGAGTGCTGGAGAAAATGTTGTTTGTTCATTGAGCTCAGGGTTTCTCTTATGCCCTCTGTATAGTTACTTGGCCTCAACGTTGTGGCCTAAACATAGACTGGGGAGAACTGACTCACCCACTCTTCCCTGCCTAATTTCTCCTACACTCTAAATTTCCTAAAGAGAAAAAGACTTCTCATATAAATTTCCCCTTCTGCTTTCTTCTTGCTAGTATTTAAAATTTTAGATTGTAATTGATTATCTAAGTGGTACGACTTACTGGAATAATAAAAATCCTAGATCCGGTTCTGGTATGAGCTGTGTGATTTTGATCCGTGGTCTTTTCTGTGATCTCATGGAGCAGCAATACCTCTCCCATGTAATCTTAGAACTACCCCAGTCAGGAAGAGTGTGGATTAAGGCAGTTCACCTTCTATTTTGGCCAGCCTTTAATGGTGGACTACTGGAAATACCCCGATTTCTATCAGTGGGGTAAGAAGAGAAGGCATTTTAACTGTGGAAGGAAGTTATTTCTGACCATGTTTACCAGCCAGTGATTCACAAATGGCAGAATGAGAGACTTAACATTTCAAATGCTTAAGCCAATCCCTCAAAAACTGTAAAACAAAAGCAGACAGAGCCTAAAAGTCTAATTTTGTAAATCTCTGTGACATTTTTCGCCAGAGAAAATGAAATATTGCTATTTTCAGTTAATTCTTGACAGCAAATCTGTGATCAGAAAGGAGGGATTTACCCAATGATTCATATATAAATAGCACAGTAGAAAAGATAATATCCACAGTGTCTGAAACTAATTTAGTGCTCTTTTTATTAAACTTTAATTTGCTAACAGTGAAAGACATTTATGGGACATGTATTATGCCCCATTTACTGTGTTAAGCACGTTACACATGCTTTCTTCATTTAATGCCCCACATGGAAATAGCTCTTTTATAAACCACCATGTAGAGAGAAAGTGAAATTCAAAAAGGTCCCAAAGCTATAAAATGAAAATGCCAGTACTGAAATGAATTTCTCCTTCTTTCAAGGCTCTTAGAAACTCCTGTCATCCCAAATAATATCTGTCTGAGAAGCACACATACTTTGTTAAATTTTGTATATTTGTTAATCACATCTTGTTAAATATAAATTCATCTTTGTAAAGAGAAAAGATAAGAGAATTGTAATTGATTTTGAAGACTATCTTTGCAACTAAATTTTTAACATTGGTTTATTGCTTTCTGTATCTCAGCAATTAACTGAACTGCTCACTAAAATTATTTGGCTTCAGTAGTCAAGTTTACTCTACAGTAGCACAGAAAGCTTAATCCAATTTTCCTATTGAAATGTACTTACCTATGTAAATGTGACTAATTAAGATGAATAAATGCTTGCAGACTTAGCTAAATCTTACTAGAAATTTATACATGGCCAGCTATATAAAATCTTCGATTGCCAAATTTATTTATGTTTACATGAATGTTACACCTTACATGGAAGTTTCCAGGGATTGATCTACTTAGTAACATTTTATAGACTGGAAATATCAGAGAATTGAGATATTTATTCAGTTGACACAGGTTAATAATGAAAGCTATGAGATACTTTGTCCACTAACACATGATTGAGTTAATATAAAAGAAAATAGATACAAATGGCTGTGTTCATTCCGATGATCCTGACGTCGGAAACTCCCTCCTCTCCGGATGAAAGGCATCACCTTGAAGTATGGTTGAATTTTAAATCACTTTAATGCTCTTTAAAGCACACAAAAATATTCCTCTGCTTTAAGAATTCTTTAATTCAGAAATATTATGTATTTTCACATTATAAGGTTCCATAATTTCTTTTCAAGGATTTGCTCACTGAGCCATTGTTTCCTCTTGTTCCAATTATCATTATTGAGACCCTGTATAACAATAACTGATAGGAAAGTTTTCCTTTGTCTTTGAAAGCCAATATTTGTATTACAAATTTTTTAATGCAGTTATCTATCTTCCAGACTAGTAATTTGCACCAAATGCAAAATCTAAAATCTGAATTCATGTTCCAAATTCTATTTATTTGTTGCAGGCCCTTTGAGAATTTTCTTAAATTCTCTATGCCGCATTCTTTGGCACAGAGAAAAGAGATACAAATTCTTTGTAATGAGTATTAGAGGTAATACACACTAGTACTTAGTACATGCCCACAATATTCTCAATAAATGACTTTCTTTTTACCATTATTGCTGTAATTCCTATCATCACGATCATTCTCATCACTGACATGATGATCTGTCTTAATTGGTCTTTTACATCAAAATCTTTGGAATTTTGAAAGGATGGAAAATGACTCTTTTCATCTCCCTTTTGATATAAATATAGGATCTTAATTTTAAAAACTCACCTGAGAAAAAGTAGAAAAGAACCAGAGAGAAGAGCAGAAAGACACCCGATATTTTCATGGTGCCGGTTTGCTCACTCAAATCAAGACTGCCTTGTTCAGCTTAGATTCTCTGTCAAGACACTTCCCAGGAAATACCAAGATACACGCTGAGACATATATATAGAGACAAGGCAAACGGAGCTGAGATCTCCTCCTTCTTTCATAAAAATCACCTTCTAAAACCATACGCAGCCTTATATACTTTAGGCATTTATGAAGAAAGGCCTCATGCACCCCATCAATCTTAAAAATTAGGACAATTATGTGAGTCGCACCTTAGATCTTATTAATAAAAGTTGTCATTTTGTACCAGCAGCCTACATTTTCCTAACAACATACATCCTTCCTGCTTTTCCCTCCAAGGCTTCACTACATTAAAGGGATGATTCACAGGGCAATTCTGCTTACTCCCTGGGTCTGTTTTCCAACAGGTCCTACATGTCTGTGGTCCTGATGAATAACCACAGGGGAATGGAATCTCTAGGGTGTAACTTTGGTTTTTAGAGGCTAAATCACTCCTGTTGTACGTAAGGAGGAGAGATAGTCTACACTGTCACCAGAATTGTGTCAGAACAAGCATTTTTGGGGAAGTGGAAAGAACTAGCTTATTAATTTTGAAATGATACTGCCATCTCATGTCAGTGGTTTCTAGGTTTTGAGTCAAAATGACCAGGAGTTATTGTGCTGTTTGGACTTTGTTAAAAAATTTCATGGTCATTGAATTGCATATTAGACATGAGTAATATTTACTATTCCTTTTATTCTGCAAAGTCTAAAAAAGTTGTCCTAATGAAGACTTTAAAATTTCAACTCCTTGGAGGTATACCATTCATTTCAGTTGAGTGATTTCATAGGTTTTATGATCAGTTTAATTGCAGAATGGGTCACACAGTGGGTTATCACAACACTGTGCAAGGACCAAACAACAGTAGATATGGTGTTAATAGGAAAGTCTGTATTGAAACATAAACTTCTGTTTAAAATTCCATGAAGACAAACAGCAAGGTGAAATACAGGACGCTTATCTAAAAATATATCCAATTGAAATACCAGTGATAAATACAGCCTAAGCAAAAAGTTACACAAATATATAATTGGTTTTCTTTTCAAGTAGTCACTTTGAGAAAGCATAAACAGAGTTAATATGGTATATTGTTCTTTTTATCTCTGAAAATTTGTTCTCCTTCTGGAAATTACTTAGTTTTAGAAATTTTGATTTGATTTAACAATATTTAGGATGAATCTTATGTCTTTTAAATTAGTGAGTATATTTATTAAATCTGATAAGCAAGGTATTAGTGCTTTGATAAAATTTAATGTGATTATTAATTAATAATTCTTAATAATATTTTTTATTGCTTTTCTGACAAAACTTAAAAACTTTTGAATCAAGCTGGGAGTATAGCTCAATGGTAAATCACTGAGCTAAAATGCATGTGACCCCTGGTTCATTCTCCCCCTCCAGAAACACAACAACAACAACAAAATACCTGAAAGTAAATGGTAAAAGAAAAAAAGCTTAGAAGGTCATGAATCAGGAGAAAAAAGATATGAGAAGAAAAACATGTATTCTTAATAAGCACTAAAATGAATTTCATTTGAAGGTGGTATATCACACACACACACACACACACACACACACACACACACACACACACAATCTGAAAATCCTCCACAGAAAGCTATGGTTCAGAAATTATACAATAAATGCTTTGAAGACATCAATGAACACATTTTAAAGCTTTATTTAAATTTGTCTTGAATGTTTGATGAAAAGAGGAGTTTGGGGCATTCAGAAGTTATAAAATGTGATAAAATGCTTACAAAGGAGGCACAGGCTAGTCCTGTCATGTATACCAGTCACCATCAGGGATACTGCCCCTGCCAGGAGCCAGAGTGGGCTAGGAAAAGCAGCAGCCAGCCCCACACCAGGGAACCCAGTGTTCACTGTCAGATACCTGTACCAGCAATGGCCAGGAGAACCAAACAGTCATGCTTCAGAGAAAGTGTAGCAGTGGGGGAAGCTTGTCTGGAGGAACTCAGGAAAATGTCACAATAAAGAAGCAAAGGTCAGTCTCTGGCCTCCAACCCATGCAGAGCAAATCAAGAAGACGTAAACACAGAAGAGGTTGGAATTCACATGCCTGAAGTTTCTAAAGTGATGGCAATTGAAGTAAAGAAACAACTTCATGAGGCTATAAAAGAAATTAGAACAGAAATACTATCTCAGGTAAAAGAAGAAATGCAAAACGTAATAAAAGAATTGCTGAGCATCTCTAAGAAGACACAGAAAAAATAGAGCGTAAGAAAATGAGGGAAACCTTGAAGGAATAATGTAAGGAGGGTTTAGAATGCATGAAACAGATTCAAAGAGATATCCAGGAAATGTAAAACTCCACTGAAAACTGGTAAAACTGCTTGAAAGAAACTGAAGATAAGACTTTCAGACCTTTAAGACAGGAGTGCAGCGAGTGAGTGTCAAAGGTAAGTTCTCTTAGAAATAGCACGGAACCAGGAAATAACAATTCAACAGCTGCAAGACAACACAAAGAAAAATATTTTAAGGATTATAGGTGCCAATGAAAAAGCTGGGGTCAACACAAATGACACAAAAAGTCTATTAATAGAAGTAATAGAAAATATCCCAAGCCTGGGAAAAAAGACCTGTCACACAGATAATTGAGGCATATAATTAGAACTCCAGCTAGCCAGACATATGGTAATCAAAATCACAGAAATTCAGCGAAAGAACAGAATATTAAAAGCTATTAGATAAAAGAAACAGATCACTTATAAAGGAAAATCCATTAGAATCATGACAGACTTCTCAGCACAAACCATCAAGTCAAGGAGAGCCTTGAGTAAAGTGTTTTAAGTACTGAAAGAAAACAACTTTGACCCCAATTATGTACTCTACAAAACTATCTTCCAAAATTAATGGAGAAATAGGATACTTCCATGACAAAGAACAACTGACTGAATTCATGACCAACAAACCAAACCTACAAATAATATTGAAGGACATTCTAGAGAGAGACAAAAATGATCACAGTTCCAGGAACAGAGACAGAGGGGGCTCTCCAAGTGGGGTGGACAATTGAATAGAGGGGAAAGGTAGGCAGCCAACAGCAGGAAAATAGCATGGCAGAGGCAAGCTAGTGCATGTTGGCCATAACCACTAATGTAGATGGCCTCAATTCAACAGTGAAAAGAAACAGGAGATGGAATTCATCAATATGCTTTATACAACAAACACATTTAACTTGAAAGAAAATTCAGTGACTCAAAGTCAAAGGAGAGAAAACAATGTTCTAGGTGACATGGAACCAGAAAAAGTAGGGGTATCTTGTACATCAACTGCAGAATAGATAAGAACGGTATGGTATTTCTATACAACGGAAAACTACTTAGTTATAAAGAAGGATAACCTTGAGGCTCTTGTAGGTAAATGGATGCAATTTAAGATCATTCTCTTGGGTGAAATGGCTCAGAGTCACATGGGTGAACATTGTATTATCTTCCTAGCACAAAAAACTAAAGAAGTTAATGGGATCCAAAATGCACAATAGATATTGCGAAAGTGAAACGGGAGGAAATGTCTAAAAGGGGAAGACAGTGACCATTGTTAATCTATCACTGTGTTTTGAAATCCTGTATTGTTTTCATTTGGTTTTATTCAGTTTTGTTTTGTTTGATTTTATTATATTTGATGGCATAGGCAGTTATTTCAAGATAACAAAATATATTATGGCAGCCATAGTTTTTTTTTTCCCGATTATCTTGTTTTAAAGTCCTGTATTGCTTTCATTGTTTTGTTTCAATTGGTTTTATTCTGTTATGTTTTGTTTGATTTTATTATGCCTGATGGTATGGGCAGCTATTTTGAAGATAACAAGAGGCATTATGGTAGTCCTTATTCATTTCCTGTTATCTTGTTTTGAGGTCCTATACCACGTTCATTGTTTTGTTCTGATTGACTCTTCTGTTTTATTTTGCTTGGTTTTATTGTGTTAAAAATAAAATTTAAAAAATGCTTACAGAAAACTATGAAAATTCCAAATAACCATCCACAGTTTTGCTTGTTTTTCATTCTCTTAATTATTTTTCTCATTAAGTGAGATAATGTCAGGAGCAGTTCATCAGAATTTAAATATGTAGCCTTGGTTTTGGCTTTCTTCTACCTTCCTCCTTCACAGTCCACCTTCTGCACCTCCTCTTCATCTTCACTGGCTCCTGTTTCATTCTCTCTTGACTCTCGTGACTGCAGTGCATCTGGTCAGCCTGAGTAAAATGTCATGTCCAAAGTGACAACAGTGTAACAGCCATAGTTGGTCATGGTCCATCACAAAATCCAGGGAACAAGGAAATGGATATTTTGCAAGCAGGGAGGGGTAAAAGGACAGGGAAGGCAAAGTAAAAAGGCCTGAGATGTGTCAGCTATATGTATGAATACTGACATACAATGGAAACTTTATGTCTCATGGAAACAAGCTGACAGTTCTAATAATAACATTAATAAAATACAGGGGAAGAGATTCTAGCGGGAGCATGACAGAGGCAGGTGGGTGGAGGGATTCACATACCTACTTCCGAAGATAAATGTAAACTTCATGTACAGCAAACATATATTAACAAAATGACATTTTAAACAAAATAAAACCTTCAATAGAAATATTTCATAGAATAATTCTCTTTTTATAAATTTTTTCAATTTTTTAAAACATTTTTAAAGAAATTAAGATAAAAGAGAACATAATAAAGCATATTTGAACAGAACAATATAAGCATCACAGTATTTCACCACAAGACAACCTGATATAACAGTAGCTACCAAAATGTCTCTTTCCTTGAAATAGTTGAGCATACCTTCACATACAATAGTATCGAACATTACAAAATAGTATAAAACCATTCAAAAGAATGAAAGTATTACAGGGCATTAGAAACCAAATAACAGAAAATGAGCAATGGTTACTTTATTATTCCATTTTCCATAAAAAAATTTGTTTATACTACCACACACGATAAAATCTAATAAGATACTATCTGATAGAACCAATGGAAACAGAAGAACAAAATTATGGTAGGACTTCAAAATGACATGATATTA